GTTTCCTATCACTTCCTTTGCCACTACCATTTCCACCCATTTTTTTACCATTTCCACCCTTTTTTTTACTATTCATTTTTTCCTTCATAACATAAGATTTACTAGGACAGTACTCCGCTTCTGCCATAGTGAAGCAACATTCCAAGTTATTCTAGGTCTGTGACAACCTTTCTAGGATTTACTTCTGTAAAACAATAATCAAACCATTTTAAACTACTCAAAGGTTGCTTTTCCAAAATATTGAAGTCCATATATCTTTTCTCAAGTAATTTAGAATCAGGTGCAGTAGTTTTCCCATAGTTTACTCCATCATCTCTGTAAGAAACACTTAATGCTCTCTCATGCAGAAACATTGCTGCATTCGTCCTCAAAAGCATGTTACAAATATTTCAGTCTCATTGGCTTTTGGCCAGAAAATCTTTGGAACTTGCCTTCCAATTAACATTGAACGAACCATATTCATGATGGTTCGGTTCTTTCTTTCAATAACCCCATTCTGTTGGGGAGTATAGGCAGCAGTCAACTGTCTCCTTATCCCTTGACTTCTACAAAATTCATCAAATATTTTTGAGGAAAATTCACCTCCCCTGTCAGTTCTTAAGCAGATGATGCTTTCTCCTGCTTCCTTTTCCACCAAAGTTTTGAAATCTCTAAAGAAAGAGAAAGTTTAAGATTTTTCCTTTAACAAATGCACCCAAGTTTTACGTGATAAGTCATCAATAAAACTTAGGATATATCTCTTATTACTACTGCATGTTGGCTGAATGGGTCCACATAAATCTGCAAGAACCAGCTGTAGCCGTTTAGATGATCTCCACTTACATTTTTTTGATATTGAATTTCTGTGTTGTTTTCCAGCCAAGCAATGTACACAGAGCTCCTTAGGGGTTGTGATTGTTGATAGTCCAGTCACCATTTGCTAAGTGACAAGAGTTTTTAAGCCATCATAACTTAAATGCCCTAGTCTATTATGGCAGAGTTGGGAGTTGTCTTCTTCATTTGTCTGAAAACAGGTTGTCGGTTCCTCTTTTATGATTGTTGTTGATTCCCTTTTCATGATTGCTGTCAGAGAAAACATCCTGTTTGCACTCATATGTACCTCCAAAATCAACCCCTTTTCTGAATGAACAATATTGCGTTTATTGTTCTGAATTGTGATGCTTAAGCCCTTTTCTTGCAGCTGCCCTATACTGAATAGGTTATTCTTGAGTTCTGTAAGTATGGCTTGAATGTAGCATTGTATCTCCTGCAGTTGAACAAATCTGTACAATTTGCTTAAATGATTACTAATAATTCAGTACTGTAAAATTTGTAATAGCTCATTAACATAACTTCACTGCACCAATCAATTGAGAGTCAAACTTCTCTTTGGTTTAGCTTGGTGCAACCACTATACAACCTTTTTCTTTTTCTATGTTATCTCCATCCTCATCCTCATCATGTATGTTTGTTCAAAATTCTCTTTTTAATTTCTTCCTATTTGGATTGTAAGTTGGAGCAACTCTTAAAAAAAGTCACCAGATCAGGAAAACTTTAATTAAAACATATCAAAGAAGTATTTAGGGTTCATAACTTCTATTCTTGAGTTTTAATCATAAAAAAATATAATATTTCAAATGGAAAATAAAGCAAATTGAAGATCTAACAAACGGGTCTCCGAATTTTAGCTCCAAGATGACATGGGAAACTACAGCAGCAACAGTGGTGACAGATGTCAGAAGCTAAGGAAAAAAGTTCATTAACTGCTGCATTTTTCTTGAGACTACTAGGGAAAGCTACAAAAGAATCTGACTTTAGACAGAGGAAAGCTCCAGTACTTCCTTACAAGGCTGAATGACAAAAGACAGTGAGAGAGGAGAAACAACAAAATAAGTACTGAGGTAGTGTAAAAGTAAGTCTATAAATAACCCCAATTTAGTGCAGTGTTGGAGATTCTGTGTAGTCAGTTCAATTGGCTACCATATATGTTGTTCAATCAAAATCCACCAATTCAGATTTTAATATCACCAAATCTGACCTCTCACTTGCAAGTAATCTCAGCCATATGATATGGGGTCTGATGTCTTAATACTATATAGGTATATATATATATATTTATATATAAATTCACATATCAATTACACATCCTAAACACTGTCCCAACTCTTCCTGATAACAGATTTCTGAAAAGAATGCAAAAGATTGTTGTTTGCTCTTTGGAATACGTATTTCTAAGTTTATGTCGTAATGTATGTATGCTTCTATATTCTTCCAATCTGCATCCTCTGGCATCTGAAGCCTTCTCACATATCCATGTTCCCACCAATGGCCACACCTCCAGTCATGGGCCTTTGAGTCTCTTTGCTGCTTCCACGGTCCACTAATTTCCACAACCTTCCCCTTATCAACAACGACTTGAATGTTATTTTTTCCAGTTCCTGTTTTGACAAACCACTGGTGTCACAGAAATTTTGTCTAGTTAAGCACTTTTCTTAATTGAATCTATGGAAACTTGGCCCCCATCAACTCCAATCGGCTCAAGTTCATTTATTTCGTTATTTGGTATGACTTTAATAAACATATTGATACGAGTTGATATAAGTTTGTGATGGATCTTTTGAAGGAAAATTCATTGGAAAGTTTTAACACCAACAAAACCTGAGTTTAATCTCATAATAAAAGATTGACATCATCCTTAACTCAAAACTTTAAAAGATCCATCAGTTTGCACTATCAACTAATCGAAACCATACTCATACATGATAGTTTGTGATTAGATATAGTTAGCTGACAGTGTTACACTGTTAGAATCTATATTATTTATTCATAGGTTACTACCCATTGGTACAAGAAAAGAAAATTCTTGATGCAAGGTAAAGGCTGTCTCTCCTTTTAGGTGCTTGCAAATTTTATATAGTTCCTCCAGTTCTGAGATCCTATTTTGTCTTTCAGATCTATAAAATGATGGGGCAGTTTCATTGTAGCATAATTTGTTTAACATATATTCGGTTTACAATATAAGGGTAACTAAAAAGCTGTTTGCCTTACCCGGTGTTTCTGCTTTTTAATATGTAGCCTTCAGTTGTCTGACACCAATCCACAGTGCTTTAGCTGGAGCTCCTTAAATGAGATAACAATACATCTGACTCAAACTCCCATAGTGGTTGTGTTTTGACTCATTATGCACATTTTAGGCTACCTAGACTACCTAGAATTAGGAATTTTATTCTGCACTCCTAGTTTATTTGGTAAAGATCTTTGAACACACTGTGTTTTTTTAACACTGTCACAAAAACAATAATTGTTGCACACCAACCAATTCCATCCCAAAATCTACTTTTGCCTTCAAACATCTTAGCTGTCTCCCTCTAGCTGTCATAAAAGAACAACCATGCCTGTGAAATCAACAACCATACCAAAGAAACAAGATAGTTGGCTATAACTCAATGAACTATGTTTAATGAGTCAAAACAAATGCTAACTTCAGTTTCCTGACTTTCAAACTAATCAATGCTCTCAAAAATTCTTGCACATTAGAATGAGTGTTGCAAGCAGCACCCACTGGTTGGTTTGGAATCCTTACTTATTACTTTCACTCTTTAGTAAACAATACCCCAAACATTCCTTGTCCAGTTTATAAATTTATAGTAGAAGCTTACTTTTTCAATCATGTGATGTAGGAAATGTCATCTAACTCAATCATATTTCTCATAATCAACCTTTACAACACTTTATTTGTTTTTATTTTATCTTCTTACTTCATCCACAACATCATTGACTACTATCACACTCTCAATCACTTATTTACCCTTTATAAATGGAAACCAATTTTGGTCTACTGTTTTATATAGTACAGTATTCAGTCTTTGGGTAGGATATTGTATGATCTTGTATATACTACCGAACATTGGTATAGGTTTTTACTTTTCCAAACCTTAGGGATGACCATTATAAAAGATGTGTTACTTCCACTTAGGCATTTACCACTTGTATGAAAATTATGTATTAGATTCAGTAAAGCCCATTTGATAAGTTCCTTTACAAACTTCATGAATTTGAGAGACCTTCATGCATTTAGATATTTCTCTCTTGAAAGTGAACCACAATTCAGAATTTTTTTTTTAGTTCATCCTATTTTGTCAAAAAATTGGTAACATGGTTTCAGTTTGTCATCCTCTGTTTGAAGTTGTATCCTAGTTAGGTCATGTCATCATTAGTCATACTGTTCTATTATAGTTGTGCAGCTCACACTATGGCCCTTATATTAGTTTCTCTCAATCTTTTCCTTAGGCACAATCCATCTTGCAAAGGCTCCTCTGTTTTCTTTTGTCTTACATTCTTTTTCAATTGTGATTTGAAGGTGGTAGTGTACGAAGGTGTGATTAGGGAAAAGGCAACAAGCAAAGAAGATTGTCCACAATTCCTGAAAGGTATGCTTAATGTTATATTCCTACCATCTTTGAAGTAATAAATAGTTTTGATGATTATTATTTTAGTCAGTCTCTCCTATTTTTTGTTGACTTTGAAGTATGTTAATTATTAGGTAAAAATTTCCACCAATTTTTTAGCAAAAACAGTGACATCAACACTCAAGTAAGTGGTTCTAACCTTTTATTTGTATTTAGTATGGGGAGATAAATTTGCCTTGTGATTGTTTGATGTTCAATTGCATTGTGTCATTGTCATTAGTCTCTTAAAATTGGTTATGGATGTAGTAAAGTATGTTAATTTTTACATGTGTTGTTTGATGTTCAATTGCATTCTGTTCTTCCTGCTACCCACAAAGGTTACTTCTCTTTTGTCCTTTATGCTTTCTTCTGTTATATACAGTGCTGCTCCAAACAATCCAAATACAAATGAAACTTACTTAACCACTGCCAAATACCTTTATCACAATCACAATATTATATTATCTCACAAGTTGGTTACAGAATAGATTTTTATTGCATTTATCTTTGATTGTACTATTTCTAAATTTTATTTTCTTCTATTGTATAAAAATATATATTATGTTCAAGAATATGGCATCAGGTCCTTCTGGCCCTCCTATTCCACCTTCAGGAAATTCTAATAAGGGCAAGGGGAAGAAATCTTACGTAGTGAAGTTGATGACACGTTTCAATACTGAAATTGGTTCAACCAGTCAACCAACTACACCTACCTCTACCTCTACTGGTAGATCTGTTCCACCTCCATTAGTTGTTCCTGCCTTCACTCCCACTCCACATCAAGTTCCTACATCTTCACCTACCTCTATTGGTACATCTCTTCCACCTCCAATACAAGTGCCTGGCTTGACACCCACTCCATACCAAGTGCCTCCTTATCTTCAGGCTTCACTCTCTCCCAATGTTGGTTCTAACCCATCAACTCCCAGAAATATTGCAGCATCACCTGGTATAGAGGATGCAGATCCACATTCTAGTTCAGCCGCCAATAACATGGAAGAATGTTCCAATAGTCGTCCTATGATTACACCCGTTGGAGGAGGGTAAGAAAAAAAATAACTCAATTAATATATACACAATTCATTGTTGTATTATTGTAATGTTTGAGTTTAATTTTGTTTTAGGTTTTATCCTACAAAAACTGCATCCAAGGCAATCACAGC